TGTGTGGATTAACCAGCAGATTTGCCCCATGTGATAACGTCCTTAGTGGCTACTGCAAAGCGCTGGAACTCCCTTTTCAGAGTTTAGACTGGCACTCTACTTGCTGTTTTTTCACAAGCTGAAGACCTTTTTGTTTTGTCAGCCCTCTGATAGCTGGAAAGGGGCATTGCAGAATTCGCTGTACTATTCATTTGTTGTTTTCCTCTTAATGGTCACGCTTGGATTTGCTTTTCTATGGTTAGGTTAATTATATTTTTAATTTTTGTATGATATGAATTTTAAAAATATCTGTTTTCATCTGTGTAAGCCACCTTGATGGTGGGATAGAAATAATATAATGGCTTGCCTCTAAAATGTTTGTAATATCAGGAAAATCTCACCCATGACTTTCAGTAGACTGGGTGGTCTTTTGCCTGGTGTGTGTTTTGTATGTCTGTGTACATGTGCCTGAAAATCGATCCCGTGAATTTCATAGGATATTCTGAGGCAAGGAATACCCAGAGATGATTTTGCTAGTTCCTTCCTTTGAAATGCAGCCTGGTATTCATTGGTGGTCTCCCATCCAGGTACTAACCAGAACTAATTCTGCTAAGTTTTCAAGATCAGATGGGATCTGGTGCCCTTGGGGTATTTAGGTGCCACAATTACACCACTTCTATTTCTTCCCTCCTCTCTTTACCTTTCTTTACCCTGTGAATTCAATAAAGAGCCTCTACTTTCAGATTCATGAATTTTGATGTAGGCCATGGTGAGAATCATGTGGCCAACATATAGCCCCAAGGATATTTTTGCAGGCCCTGGACCTCAGCCAAGTACTCCTTCTATAATATTTTTTTTTCTGGCTAGAAAAGGAGAATCACTGGGCTAGAAACCTCCAGAAATAAATGTCATAAGAAAGGTCTATTTACTGTCTGGAGGTGAAGAGTTTCCGCTATAGTTCTTCATCCTCAGAGATCACATGGAAGTAAAAGTGGAAGAGGAAAAGCCAGATGTATGTACAATTGGGGGTGGGTGGGATGCTGAATCTCATGTCTTATATGGCCCAACAAGGATCCTAGTGTGCCTCCTGGGTTTCCTGGGCCATCCATCACCCACCCCAATAATAAAGTATTTAGTCTGCACATAAAATATTCAGCCTTAGAAGTTTTCAGGGGTGCAGTTCTCCAATTTTAAGCTATTTCAGCACTCCTGGACTTGGGAAGGTGGGGGCTGGGCCTGGGCCTGAAATAGACTTATTAAAAATCTACAACAGGGGTAGGCAACCTTTCCCCTTTAAGGGCCGAGAGACTTCAGCTCCCAGAATCCCAGGAGCTATTGGCCAACATGGGACTATTGGCCAACATGGCTGAGGCTTCTGGGAGCTGAAGTCCTTCGGCCCTTAAAGGGGAAAGGTTGCCTACCCCTGATCTACAAGAATACAAAGCAATGTGAGGAGGCTTTGATGAGGAAAAAATCCTCTGTTGACATTTTTGCTCCATGAGTATGCCATAGAGGCTGAGATGAGGTTCCAAAGTAGCAAGCTACAACAGTGGGAGGAAGCTAGCACCTGTTATTTATCAGAGTCAAAAGAGTACTATGCCTTACTTTTTGGATCTAGCGTTATAGAAGTGATGACTGGGAAGATGGACAGAGTGGAGATTTCCTGCTTCTAGACAAAGTGTGCTGGCTCACTTACTGTTGAAAAATAGACACCTCTAGCTGAACATAGACTTGAACTCAGATCCATGGGGTGGTTTGGACTGGTCGCAGAACCAAGCCAGCAAAAGGAGGAAAAGGGGAATTGTTCCCCTTGTGAGATTGGAAGTTTTGTTTGATCTCCCTGGGGATGTGCTTCAAAATCCTTTGTTCAACCACAGGAGTCATCACAGATTTGGTTCTTTCAGAAAGCCCACAATGTGCCATCCAGGAAAATGCATTGTTTGAAGAGTGGGATTGTATTTTTGGGACTGTTTACTAATGATCAGGAGTCCAGCTTCGAAAGCTTGCAACAAGTATATTGTGCATTTTGGTTGGCCAATAAAGGTATCGCTATTTGGTGGGTCCATTGGGGAAAATATTCCTATTACTTTTCTGACATTGAAAGTTTGGATGTAAATGTAACTTTGCAAAAAGCTGAAAAAGCTGAGGTTCTGAGCACCTTTTGACAGTTAAGGGAATTAACTGGTGACTGTATGGTTCACTAAAAATGGGAAATAGAACAGTATTAGCAAAGAAAAAACTAGAATGGTTTGATGATAAATTTCCTTCTATGCCATGAGTTGAAAAGGAGACTGCAAATATATGGTTATTCTGGTAGAGGGAAATGATGACGTGCCCACATGCATGCTATGTTTATATCTGCCTGTATCTACAAATAGAAGTGACTGGTTGGGTGGTATGTTCATGTTTGTCTCCAGCTTCTGCTTTTCTCATACCTATATATCTATATCAAATACTTGCTATGCAAATTCAGTTAATAAAGTGTGCCGATTTTAAATATGACAAATTACAGATGAAAGGAAGAACCTGACCCAGTATATTTGGTGTTCAACTCTGCACTTGTGTTTATGTGAACATGGCAATCCAGCAGTGTAATACTATGTATGTTGTGAGCAAGCATGGCATAGTGATTACAGTAGGTGAGGACAACTGTGCAGTTGGGGACCATTTTTCATACTGACCAATTGAGAAGCCAGCATGGGATAGTGGTTTGAGCCTTGGACTATAACTCTAGAGACCAGGGTTCGGTCCCCAGTTTGGCCATGGGAACCCACTGGATGACCTTAGGCAAGTCACACTCTTGTTACCTAAATTTCTTGGGGTCCTGGGAGGGCACCCACAAATTTTATTCAATGAGGAAATTAGTTCAGCTTGGTAATTTAAAAACTGCGAGGGGGTATCATAAAGTTTTATCACTTTAAACAAAAATGCCAAAGTTTGTTTTGATTTGTAGTTGTTAACTTATCTCTACATAGTCACCATCCAGATTTACACATTTTACCCAGTGTTTCTTGACTCTCTGAATACCATTATAGTAGAAGTCTGCAGATTGCATCTTAAACCACTCTTCCACTTCATAAATGATGTCATCTGTGTTGTCAGATCGGTAACCCTGCAATGGATTTTTCATTTCTGGGAGCAAAAAAAGTCACTTGGTGATGATGATGCTGACAAAATTTCATCAATTTGTACGTACAAATAATAATAATAACCTCTGGGTGATAATTATTATTTTATGATATCCCCTCGTACTTCTCCATCTTACACTTTAGTCACTTCTGGCACAATCTGTAACAAAAGTAAAGGACACAATGAACTGATTTTCTCAACATCATGCACTTAGGGACCAGTGATGACACTGACAAAATTTCATCAATATATCTTAATAACTTCCAGGTGATAATTATTACTTTATGATGCCCCTTCATAGAAGGCCAGGTAACTTCTGGTTGAGACTTTGATCTATGTACAGTGGGCTTTTCTTATCCAGGCTTGCCATCTGTTGATTCGAGCTTCCATGAACAGCAAGCCTCATTGTTTTTAACAGAGGTGCATGCATGTGGCTGTGCCAGTAGCCGTGTGCACGTTCCACGGCCATAGGAAAACACGGGACTTCAGTCCTGCATTTTTTGCTATCTGTGTGTGTGTGTGTCCAGCATTGATCCCCTGTGGATATGAAGGGATGATTGTGTAATGATTCCAAACCCAGAGAAATCCAGAGGCAGATTCCAAATTAATATGGTTCATTTATACAAGGAGAATCAACACATACACAGTCTCTCACGTGTACATAAAAGAGCTAATGAAGCAAAGATGTTGGAATATAGTGAATTGTAGAGTTGCTAAGAGGCAATTCTGTACTGATCCTGAAGCGTGGCTCCAATCTCATCATATTGAAATAAGAATGGCTGAGTAACCACCTGCGGAACATGGTGTGGCCCCATGTTCATGCTACTGAGGTGTCCAGAGATTCTGCCTGGTTTCAGACTAGACCAATTTGCTGGTGCTAAGGCACCTATATTTATAGCCAGAAATGGCTCCTAAGGGCAGGATGTTAGGAGTTGATGGGCTTAAATGACTTTCCCAGGGGAGAAGAATGTGACATGCAGTACTGACTGGATAATCTGTGTAAATGTACAAAGGAAACTCCCTTTGTCTGCTATATCCAAGCAATCTCCCTATCCAGCTCGCTACCATCTCTTCATAGTCTAGGGCTGTGTTGGCGAATCTGTGGCATGTGTGCCATTTGTAGCATATGAAGCCCCATCACAGGGCACATGGCGGTCACAGAAAGGAGGGATGGGGAGGCGTGTGCGGCTGGCCTGGCTCCTTGGTGCGGCTGGAAGCCCTGTCCCCCAGAGGCACAATGCCATGTGGGACACCATTTCCTTCTCTTCTTCCCAGACTTTGGGTTGTGTGTGTGTGTTGTGAGCCTTCAGGTTATTTCTGGTGACACTATCCTGAGGTTTTCTTGGTAAGCTTTGTCAGAGGGGGTTTGCCATTGGTGTCCTCTGAGGATCAAACAATGTGATTTGGTGTGTATGTGTTGTGAGCCTTCAGGTTGTTTCCGGCAACCCTATCCCTTCCCTCCCCCTCACACCCTTCAGAGTCCCCTGGGGTTTCTGCCCCATGGGACCCTGAAGCCTCCTGCCCTACCCCCACCCTTCAGAATCCTTTCTAAGGCTGAGAAAGTGTGATTTGCCCAAGGTTACCTGGTGGAGTTTTGAGGCTTCATGGGGAATTGAACCCTGATCTCCCAGAGGACTAGTCCCAATAAACTTGTTACCAGATTTTCTTAGCAAGGTTTGTTCAGAGGGATTTGCCATTGCCTTCTGAGGCTGAGAGAGTGTGCTTGCCCAAGGTCTCCCAGTGGGTTTCATGGCCAAGTGAGTTTCTTCAGAGGAGGTTTGCCATTGTCTTCCTCTGAGGCTGAGAAAGTGTGACTTGCCCAAGGTCTCCCAGTGGGATTCATGGCTACGTGAGTTTCTTCAGAGGAGATTTGCCATTACCTTCCTCTGAGGCTGAGAGAATGTGACTTGCTCAAGGTCTCCCAGTGGGTTTCATGGCTGAGCTGGGATTTGAGCCCTGGTCTTCAGAGTCACACGCTCAAACTGCTGGCTCTCTTTGTCCTTGTTCTTGTGCTGTGCCTTCTGTGCTTTACTATGCTTCTTGTTGTTGTTGTTGTTGTGTGCCTCCAAGTCATTTCCAACTTGTGGGCCCAGAGCACCCTCCCTCCCTTCCGAGTGCTGGAGACCCTAAGGTGAAACTATCATGGGGCAAGCTTCATCAGAGGAGGATTTCCATTGCCATCCCCTAAGATTGAGAGTGTGTGACGTGTGTGTGTGTGGTGCCTTCAAGTAATTTTTGACTTATGGTGACCCTAAGGTGAAACTATTATGTAGTTTTCTTGGCAAATTTAATCAGGTTTGTTATTGCTAGCTGGAGGCTGAGAGAGTGTGTCTTAGGTTTCACCTCAGAAGTCCTGCTCCTAGAAGGTGGAAGTCTCACCCCCAAAAGTCCCGCCCCTGACACCCAATAACACCCAGTGTGGGAATGCCACTGAGTTTGGGCATTCAGTTTCTAAAAGGCTTGCCATCACTTGTTTATGGATTATACTGATTCTGATCCTGAGAGATCCCATCATGGCTGAGTGCCTTGGGCTTCTCCCATGCAGAGCTATCTGGATCAACCTTTTATTGTTTCCTGCACTGCCCCCCCCCCCCATTTGGGCTACTTGCCTAAGACGTCCCTTTTTGATATGGACTTGATGATCAAAGGTCACAGAGAAGTGACTGAAAATAAGATCTTGGGCTACACTCTCCCAGCCTCAGAGGAAAGCAAGGTCAAACCTCTTGTGGACAAATCTTGCCAAGAAAACCCCATGATAGTGTTACCGGAACCCAGTGTCCAAAAATATGACCCATAGTCCCCATG